AATGAAGTCGTTGACAACTTTAATCTTTTCTCCATTTTTATGGATGTTGTTTATTGGTCCAGTGGTAAGGATTTTTGTTTTCTTTACCTTGAGGTGCAGTCCATATTGAACATTGGTCTTTGATTTTCATCAATAAATGTTTACGTTTTCTTTCCTTTTAGCAAGCAATATTGTATCATCTGCATAACCCAGTTTCTCAGATTATTTGCTCAGCATAGAAATTGAATAACTATGTGAAAGAATACAACACTAACACGTATCTTTCCTGAGTTTAAACCATTCAGTGCCACTTGTTCTGTTTGAACAGTTACCTTTTGGTCTCTGCACAGTTGTGATCCTCATGATCACAATTAAGTGTTCTAGAATACTCATTCTGTACAATGTTGTCCATAGCTTGTCATGATCCACACAGTCGAAAGTCTTGCATAGTCAATAAAGCACAGGTGAACATCTTTCTGGTATTCTCTACTTTCAGCCAAGAGCCATCTGATGTCAGTTGTTGAGTTGGAACCCACTGGATGCTGTATAACAACAGCAATAAATGTAAATCTTAAAATAACATTGTTTTTACTTTTAACTTTGACAATGTAATTTGCATTTATCTGCCTTGAGATTTTTATAATCCAACATATGTTATATGACTCTTTCCATGATTCACATTCATGTCTGGTATCTTTTCAAAAATAATCCTTAGAGATATTGTTTAATCTTTGTGATAGTTAAGGTTTGGGCCTGGATTGGCAGTGGTTTCACAGTTAAATCATAGTTATCACCTCCTTGATAAACTCTAAAATGATGCATTCACCCCATGATGTGATCTGTTGTGATCAGTTCTTGTTGTTGTTAGGTGCCACTGAGTTGGTACCTACTCATAGAGACCTTATGCACAGCAGAACAAAACAGCTCTGATCTAATGTAATTGTCCTTTGTGTTGTAAATCCTGACTTCTATGATGCTAATAAAGTTGGATTCAATCTATAGGATTAGATTGTATCTTGAGTTAATCTCTTTTGAAATCTAAAAGAAGAAAGAAGTGAGCAAAGAAAGAGGGACCCACTGCCAAGAATGAAGAGTAGGAGTACATCCTTTGGATTTCTAGCTCTAGAGGCAGATTGATGTCAAGACACATGGAGAACTCCAGGAAACACTGGGCCTAATGACATTGAAAGAACACTATGAACTTTTCTCCACAGCCAGTGCTCTGAAGTCTGACTTCTAGCTTCCTAAACTTAAAGAGAATGAATTTTCTTTGTTAAATACTCATGGTATTTCTGTTATGAAAGCTCTATAAAAAACTAAGACAATAATGAAATGTGACCTGTTATATTTATTGAAAATAATTACAGATGCACATATAAGATATTGATTTAAAAAAAAAACAAACAACAACAACAACAACCCTCCTCTCTTTCAGCCACTGATACCTTATGCTTAATTAACTACTCTTTAGGAAACGCTTGTAGAACAGTTATATAGGATATGCAAGAAGTCAGTGCATGAAGAAAATAAGTAGACCAGGTAATAAAGCAGAGCAGGTATGGCCAGTATAGGGACATGTTGGCAAAATAATCAGGCCACATAATATGCAGATGTAATGGTCACCAAATTGAAAAATGAAGAAAAAGAAATCTTAACTGTTTAAAAAATATATGCTAAATTAAATTGAATTACATTATGTTTGCTGTTTCTCTTTGAATCTCTAAAAATAGCATGTAATGACAGTTACAGGCTGGCTTACTTGAAAACAAAGAAAGTCCAGCAGGTATCTTTCCGTAATTCAAAACAATGTTTTTCATGGAGTTTTAGACTATCTGAGCAAACTGATACCATTCCTAAGCGGCATAAATCACTGTAGGAATCAAAGTAGTATACTTTTAAAAAAAACATGTGGCTGTGGCTGTGTGCCTTGGAGTCGATTCCGACTCATAGAGACCCTGTACAGGTTTCTGAGGCTGTAAGTCTTTACAGGAGCAGAACGCCTTATCTTTCTCCCACGGAACAGCTGGTAGTTTTGAACTGCTTACCTTGCGGTTCACAGCCCGATTCGTAACCATTATGCTAAATATAGTAATGTGAAAAAGATAATGTCTATAATTTGAACCTCTAACTTTCTTAATTACTGAGAGGCCTATAATTAAAAGCTAAATAGCATTTAATTCATATTCAGTTGGCAGTTTTTCAGACATTTTCATTCAGCATAATAAAATTAATTGTAACCTTTACTTTTCCATCAGAAACATCGTGTTTCTTTCTGTTGGTAAAATTGTTCAATAACTGACTACTATAACAGCCTCTCTGAAATTTGAGATCTAACACTCTTATTCTGTCACTCTGAGAAATTGCTGCCCTGGAACCTGGGGATGTTGAGACTGCCCAGAAACTTAAGCATCTCACTTAATAGTTGAGTGAGTTTTCCCCTCTGTATCATGCCTGAACATTTTGATGTATATTTTATTACTTTCGGCAGTATATAAATTAAGTTTGCCAAATATACAAAGAACTTCATATAATATATAAATTATATCATAAATTCACCTTATAATTTTATAATTTAAATATTTAGTTGATTCACAAATGAAAGTTATACATCTTTGGCAATGTTAAGAAAACATTGTTACCAAACAACTTAACAGATAAAAGCCCAACTCACTGCCATCAAGTCAGTTCTAACTAATGGCAGAGTAACACTGTTACAGAGTAGGGATGCTCCATATTGTGTTTGTGGCTAAAATATTTATGGAAGTAGATCAGCAGGCTTCTGTGCTGCTGCTGTGTGGATTTGAACTGCCAGCCTTTCGGTTAGTAGCCAAACAATTACTGTACTACCCTGGGACCTTAAAGGAATCCATACAAATATAGATGTTGTTGTTGTTAAGTGCCATCGAGTCGGTTCCGACCCATAGCGACCCTGTACAGGGTTTCCGAGGGTGTAAATCTTTACGGGAGTAGAAAGCCTCATCTTTCTCCCGCGGAGCGGCTGGTAGTTTCGAACCGCTGACCTTAAGGTTCGCAGCCCGATTCGTAACCACGACGCTACCAAAGCAGTTTTTACTTAGAACTCGGAAAGCATTTGTCAGTTAAGTTGCTTTAATTTTTCTTTAGAGAGCATCATTATTCTTTATGTTTAAATGGGTTATTTTTAAGTTCATAAATATCTGTGGAGAATCGACTGTGCTAGAATAAATGTCACAGCATATGGTATGGTTTTTCTGATGGAACCAATTTTTTTCCCCTTAATTCCATCATGTTTATAAGGTGAACATTTTACACAATTCATTTAAGAACAAGATGTGTGTGTTTTGAAGTATAAAAATAATTTTCAAGAAATAGACAATGGTCCTCTCCATCAAAAGAGTTTCTTTGAACTACTAAAGACAAATGAGAATGTCTGTTTTAGAAAGACCTGGTGATCTGATTCTACAGAGGTTGTTGTTGTTGTTAAGTGCCCTCGAGTCGGTTCTGACCCATAGCAACCCTGAACAGGGTTTCTGAGGCTGTAAATATTTATGGGAGCAGAAAGCCTCATCTTTCTCCCGTGGAGCAGCTGGTAGTTTTGAACTGCTGACCTTGCGGTTTGCAGCCTGAATCGTAACCACTACGCAAGAAAATCTTAAGGAGCAGTTATATTGCATAACACATGGAGTTGCTACCAGTTGGAATAAACTCAACAGCAACAGGTTTGGTTTTTGGTTTAAATAAATTTGTTGTTAGGTACCATTGAGTCCATTCCAACTCAGAGAGACCCTATGCACAACAGAACTAAACACTGCCCAGTCTTATGGAATCATCACAATTGTTATGCTTGAGCCTATAGGTGCTGCTACTGTGTCAGTCCATCTGGTTGGTTGGGGGTCTTCCTCTTTTTTGCTGATCCTCCGCTTTACCAAGCTCTATGTCCTTCTTCATTCACTGGTCCCTCCTAACAACATATCCAAAGTATGAGAGACAAAGTCTCACCATCTTGGCTTCTACCTGGCTGTACTTCTTCCAAGACAGATTTGTTGCTTCTTCTGGCAATCCATGGTACTTTTAATATTCTCTAAAACCACAATTCAAATGCATCATTTCTTATACAGTCTTCTTTATTCATTACCCGTCTTTCACATACATCTGAGGGAATTGAAAATAGCATGGCTTGGGTCAGGTGCACCATAGTCCTCAAGCTAATATCTTTGCTCTTTAACACTTTAAAGAGGCCTTTTACAGCAGATTTGCGTAATGCAGTATGTCTTTTGATTTCTTGCTGCTGCTTTCATGAGTGTTGGATTCAAGCCAACTGAAGTCTTTGACAACTTCAGTCTTTTCTCCATTAATCATGATGTTATTTATTGGACTAGTTATTTATTGGATTTTTATTTTCTTTACATTGAAGTTCAATACATACTGAAAGTTATGGTCTTTAATCTTCATCAGTAAGTATTTTAAGTCCTCTTCACTTTCAGTAAGCAGTGATGTGTCATCTGCATAGCACAGGTTCTTAATGAGTTTTACTCCAGTCCTGATGCCAAGTTCTTTATATAATCCAGCTTCATGGATTTTTGTTCAACATGCAGATTGAACAAATACGGTGAAAGGATACAACCATGGCATACAACTTTCCTGATTTTAAACTATTTAATCTCCCCTTGTTCTTTTCTAACAGCTTCCTCTTGGTCTCAATAATGGTTCCTCATGAGTACAGTTAAATATTCAGGAATGTCCATTCTTTGCAGTGTTAACCCTAGCTTGTCATGAGACACATAGTTGAAAACCTTTGCATAATCAATAAACACACAAGTAAACACCTTTCTGGTGTTCTCTGCTTTTAGTCAAGATCCGTCTGATGTCAACAGTTGATATCCCTTGTCCCACATCATTTTCTGAATCCAGCTTGAATTTCTGACAGTTCCCTATTGCTCTTCTGTTGCAACTGATTTTGAATTATCTTCAGTAAAAGTTTTATGTAAACTGTGTATTATTATTATTATTAACATTTTTCTTTATTCTCTGATTTTTTAAAGGTATTTTTGATTTCTCCAAAATATTTTGTGAAATTTCTCAGAAGATGGTGAATGTGGAAGCTTTTGCTCTGGCTGCAAAGTATTATTCTCTACAAAACCTGGGAGTATGCACTTCTTTTGAACAATTGCTTGTAGCCCTTCAAGGAAATCAGAAACAGAGAATGGGTATGTGTATGTGTTTGTGTATGTGTATGTTCTATGTACTTAGAAACTATCTATTGTTCTTGTTAGTTAACTTTCTAACGTGTTCTTAATTCATTGTTAGACCTTATGTCATGAGCTGTCATAAATTAATACCTACCTAGGTAAGTGCATTTGGAATTATAGATCTTGCATTCGCCTTTGGTAATCCTTACTTCATGTTGTTCCTGCTTCAAAACACAGATTACAGTAGCTACTATGGATTCTAATGTTTATATTCATTTTTGTTGACTCAATGGACAGTTCTTTTGATGGAAGAGGAAAATATTATCTGCTTAACAACAATAACAAAGCAGACAAATTTTTCCTCTTCCATCAATGTATAAAGTGCAAGAATGGCATTATTATAGGTATCAAGATAGACAAGTGTGTTGTATCTCAGACAGGAATAAACAGTCAGACTACCAGTTAAGGTCTGGATGGACTATGTGGTATGCCTTGTAAAAGGAGTAGAGAGTTCACTTAGCCATGTGGGGGTGCATGCTGGGGATAGGTAACTGGAGCTAATGCATCCCCCATATTGGAGCACAACAATATATTGGTTTACTGTGTTATTATCTACCAGAAGAATGGCATTGTGCCTTCTTGACAAAGACCATGTCCCACAGTGCCAACAGTATATTACCACAAAGGTAACAACTGCCATTCTCAGGACCCTTAGTGACCACCACATCTATCTGGAAAGATCTTACTGAAACCCACTGTTCCAGTGTAATGACCTTGGGTTAAACCTGCACCCAGATATTCTCAAATGAGAAGACTCTCATGCTATAATGACCATCTTGACCCTACGCTGATGGAAGGTGTGTACCTTCCATTCCCCTGAAACCATCAACCCTGATTTTCTCCTCTGGCTTAGCCTGACTCTGAGGTCTTCCTGTCATAGTCCAGAGCAGGAAGAAAGTACCTCAAGTTGCCCAGGATAAATGAGTCAAGCAAGCTCTGGATTACAACTTTGCCTGTTAAGGAAAGTACACTGTTAAGGAAAGTACACTGACTCTTTAGACAGCAAGTCATTCTAATCTCAAGTAGTCTTATGTTTTCCAGGCAGCAGTCAAGAAATCAAACGACGTATTGTATTAGGCAAATCTGCTGCACAAGACCTTTTTAAAATGTTGAAAAGCAAAGATGTCAGTTTGAGGACTAATGTGTGCCTGACCCAAGCCATGGTATTTTCAATAACCTCATATGCATTCAAAAGCTGGACAGTAAATAAGGAAGACCGTAGAAGAATTGATGCTTTTGAGTTATGGTATTGGAGGAGAGTATTGAAGGTGCCATGGGCTGCCAAAAGAACCAATAGATCCATTTTGGAAGAAGTGCAGCTGGAGTGCTCCTTGGAGGCCAAGATGGCCAAACATCATCTCTCATACTTCGGACATATTATTAGGAGGGACCAGTCGCTGGAGAAGGATATCATGTTTGGTAAGGTGGAAGGCCAGAGAAAAAAAGGAAGACCCTCAATGAGATGGATTGGCCAAGTGGCAGCATCGATGGACTCAAGTGTGGCAACAGTAGTGAGGTTGGCCCAGGATAGGGCAGTGTTTTCGTTCTGCTGTGCATAAGGTCGCTATGAGTCGGTACCAACTCAACAGCACCTAACAACAACAATCCCATTTCCTACTTCAGCTCACTCATAGAGAAAAGGTCACCCAGTTAGGACTCCAGACTGCGTTTTCCAGCACTCTTGTTTCACCACTCAGCATTGTCTTATAGTATCATCTTTGTGTACTACCTCTTTGATCCTCTGCCAATAAACAACCATTTGGGACTGATGGAGAGGAGAAAACCTTGCTGTGGTATTCAGAGTAGTAATCCTCCAAAGATGTTCTGGAGTCCTGGTGTAGTGCTGTGAGTTAATGCGCTGGACTGCAAAGTCTGTTTGAACCAAAAGGTCAGTGGTTCAAGCTCACCAACTGCTCTTCGGAAACTCTATACAGGATCGCTATGGGTCGGAACTGATTCGTAGGCACTTAACAACAACAACAACAACAAAATATGTACTAGTTCTTATCCCAGGAACCTGTGAGTCATTACATTTCAAGGAGAATTAAGATTGCTAATGGAATTCAGGTTATTGGCTCACCTTAAAACAGAAAGATTATCCTTGTATTATTCAGTCCTGGTGTGGCACCGTGCGTTAATGTGGTGGATTGCAACGTTTGTTTGAACTGCAAGGTGAACAGCTCAAGGTCACCAGCTGCTCCTTGGAAACCCTATACAGGGTCGCTAGGAGTTGGAACTGACTCGACAGCATTTAACAACAACAACAATCACCCAGTGTAATGACAAGATTCCTTAAACAATAGAAAAATGAGGTAGAGTATTCATATGCGGTGTAAGGAAGACTGTAATGTGATGTGCTAAACACTTTCTAACAATTGCTGGATTTGAAGGTGGAGAAGATCCATGAGCTAAGGAATGAAGACAGACTCTAGAAGCTGGAAAAGGCAAGAGAACATACATTCCCCTAGAATCTCCAGAAAGGAGTATAACCCAGATGCCTTTTTTAGTGCCGCTGACCCATCTTGTCCTGTTGATCTCCTAAATGGTTGGCCCATGAAGAGCATGGGAGTTAGGATCGCTGATCTCTTATGCAGTCAGAAATTCACCTATAATTTCACTTGACCCTTGAAGAGCATGGGCTTGAACTATGTGGGTGCAGGATCACTGATACTCAGATTTTTAATTTTTCTATGTTGCAGTCAAGTCATGGGTGTAAGATAAGCACTGGACTCTTGCCTTATGGTCAGTGATTCAACCCACCAGCTGCTTGTTAGAAACCCTACATAGGGTTCACTGTAAGTTGGAACTGACTTGAAGGCACTTAACAACAGCAATGGCAGTGAGTTCAAGTGTCAAAATTCTCCACTTAGAATGCTATGTGATACTGATCATCTATCTGCTTGTGAGCACGTTCCTCTGTATTGGAGAGATGGACTGCTCACCTGGAGTGACTGGCATCACACAGCATTTCACGCTCGTGACACTTAAACTCACCATTTAGCAACAGGAGAAAAATCTGAGTATAAGTGGACCCATGCACTTCTAAACTGTGTTGTTCAAGGGCTAACCATATAATAAGCTTGTGCTGTTTTTAGCCCCTGAGTTTGTGGTAATGTGTTACAGCATCAGTAGGACACTAATACACATGGAGACTAGTATGAGAAGGTCCTTCAAATGACTGAGTAGAAACATACAGGAGGCTTAACATTTGAAAACACATCGTCTAAACATTTCCAAAATTTTAAAGAAAGAAAAGGTTCTCTTTGTAAAAGAAAGCCGAAACAAAACAATTTTTTTAAAAGTTATTAAAAATGTAGAACTCACAGAGATAATTATAAAAACAACCAGAGAAAATAAGAGATTACCTAAAAAGAACAATAAACTATAGTATCTTCTTATCAGCTGCAGTAAAGACTCAAGGACAATGGTAAAGCTCTTTAGAGTGTTGAAAATAGTCATCAATCTAGAATACTATACTAAGTGAAACTATCATTCAGATGTAAAGGTAAAATGAAGATACTCTCCGGCAAAGGCAGAGAGAATGTACATCTCAAAGATCTTGGCTGGAAGAGATCGCACTGAAAAATGTGCTTCAGAAATAAAAGGTTAGACAGTAATGTTTAGATACATTTTGTTTCCTTTTAATTATTATATAAGTTTTTGTATAAGGGATAGCTTGTTTTCTTATTCCAAAATATTTAATAGATTTATTCAGATTTTACATAGATATACAGATTCATATTTTCCTATTGAAAACCTGTACTTTTACCCTAAAATATTATAGTAGAATAACTAAAGGGTTATGATGGATGATTTAGGATGAACATGCATATGGAAGTGTTATATATTCATATGAGCTACCATTTACTGTAATATGACTGCTTGCCATTTGTCTCTAATAACGTTTATTATCTATCACACCATGTGTCTTACTAGCTAGTGCTGCTATAACAGAAATACCACAAGTGGACCATTTTAACAGAAATTTTTTTCACACATATTAGGAAGCTAGAATTCCAAATTCAGAGTACCGGCTCTGGAGAAAGGTCCCTGTCTTCTTTTAGCATGTGTAGATCCAGCATTCCTTCATGATCTCTGTGTGTCTTGGCATTAACCTTTCCCTGGATATTGGAGCTTCAAAGGATGCACTGCACTCTGGCTCTTCCCTGGTGTTGGTACTAAGTCACTTCTCCTCTGCTCACTGCTCTCTCTTTTTATCGCTGATGAGATAAAAGGTGCTGCAGGTCACACTCCTGGGAAACTCCCTGACATCTCACTGAACAGGGCTATGATGGGTTTCAGGTTACTGTAGCCCATCTTTAATCCTCTCAATGGTTTATTGTATCTCATCACATCATGGGGAATCATCAGATACTGCTACATTACTTCATTTTATTATATTCAAAGCACTGAGAATCATGGCCCAGCCAAGCTGACACATATTTTGGTGAAGACACAGTTCAATCCATGATACTATGCTTTTATTTTTTACTGTTAATATGGGAAGCAACTAGTGGAGCTCTAACATATATGAAGAAGATATTACATTTTTAAATTCAGTGAGGACTTAACCTGTATTTGATACAAACCGTAGTACAAATGAACACACCGTTTTAACAAGTAACTGCTCTGGTGCTATCTGTTCCCAAGCAATGATACGTGTTTTTACTTTTGCATGCAACAGATAATGTTGATTTAAAATTAATCTAATGTAAATTTATGAGGATAAAATTATAATAGTGGTTTTATCACACAGGATAAGCACTGGACTACTAATCACAGGGTTAGTGTTTCAAGCCCACAAACAGCTTCATGACAGGAAGATGAGGGTGTCTCCTTCCATAAAGTTTTATAGTCTGGGAAATGTTGTATAGGGTTAATAGGAGTCAGAATCTACTAGATGGAAGTGGGAGGATAGATTCTTAAGTAGTTGTTTTTGTAAAGGAGTAATTTCCCTGCTCCTCAAGGAGTCCTGGTGTAGCACTGTAAGATAAACACTGAACTGCTAACCACAAGGTTGGTGGGTCAAACCCGGCAGTCCCTCTTTGGAAACCCTATACAGGGTCCCAATGTATCAGAACCAACTTGGCAGCACTTAAAACAGCAAGGAATCATTTGGCTATGTCTGAAAATATTTTTGATTGTTTTATCTTGAGCATTGTCTAGTGGGAAGCTGTTGCTGTTGTTAGATGCTATCGATTCAGTTCTGACTCATAGCCACCCTAAGCACAACAGAAAAAGACATTGCCCAGTTCTGTGCCATTATCACAGTTGTTACGCTTGAGCCCATTGCTGCTGCCACTGTGCCAGTCTGTCTCATTGGGGGTCTTGTTTATGCTCACCCTCCACCTTATCAGGCTGGATATCCTCCAGAGACAGGTCCCTCCTGATAGTATGTCTGAAGGATGAGAGCTGATGTCTTACTACAGGTCCCTCCTGATAGTATGTCTGAAGGATGAGAGCTGGTGTCTTACTACAGGTCCCTCCTGATAGTATGTCTGAAGGATAAGAGCTGGTGTCTTACTACAGGTCCCTCCTGATAGTATGTCTGATGGATGAGAGCTGATGTCTTACTACAGGTCCCTCCTGATAGTATGTCTGATGGATGAGAGCCGGTGTCTTACTATAGGTCCCTCCTGATAGTATGTCTGAAAGATGAGAGCTGATGTCTTACTACAAGTCCCTCCTGATAGTATGTCTGATGGATGAGAGCCGGTGCCTTACTACAGGTCCCTCCAGATAGCATGTCTGAAGTATGACAGCTGATGTCTCACCACACCATACTTGCCTCTAAGGACTGTGTTTCTTCTAACACAGATTTGATGTTCTGGAAGTCCATGCTACTTTCAGTATTATCCTCCCTCACCATAACTCTAATGCATCAATTCTTCCATGGTCTTCATTATTCATTGTCCAACTTTCACAGCATATGAGGCAATTGAAAAGACTATGGTTTGGGTCAGGAGTACCTTAGTCCTCCAACTGTTATCTTTGCTCCTGAACATTTTAAAGATGTCTTGTACAGCAGATTTGCCTAATATAATACATGGTTTGATTTCTTGACTGCTACTTCCATGAGTGCTGATTGTGGGAAGTTAAGCAGCTTTTAGTGCATAGGACAGCCCCCACAACAAAGAATGAATCCTTCCCAAAATGTCAGTAATACTGTTATTCAGAAACAGCAACAGACTGTTTCTGATATTATTTTGTCATTCAAATTTTTATTCTTTGCCTATGTACTTGTGATCTATTTGAAACAGTGGGGCATTGTAGGATCAGCATCTTACAATGGGCATTGAAATAGTGGGGCACTGCGAACCACAACACTGGCCATTCAAACCCACCAGCAGCTTCTCGGAAACACTATACAGGGCCGCTCACTATGAATCAGAACCAATTCAACAGCACCTAACAACAACAACATAAAAGTGTAGAAAATATTTTATTGTATATTCTTTGTTCAATAAGTATTTTATGTAAATGTAACATTTTCACAAAATGAAAGCATCCATGAAACCACCATCCAGATAAAAAAATCAGGCATTATTAACGTGCTCCTCCTATCAGCCTTCCACCCCAAGGTAACCATTGTTCTGACTCATTACCACAGAGAAACGTTGCATATATTTGAACCTTATATAGTCTTTTGTGTCTGATTTCTTTTTGCATACACATCAGTGTTATGTGTTACAGAAGTTTGGTATTTTTCTTATTACTGTGATATTTCCATTCTACTTTTGATAAATATTTGCGTTTTCAGTTTTGGACTGTAGATACACATGTATATCCATATTTCTGTTGTATATACCCCTACTAGTGGAATTGCTAGGAGTCATAAGCTATGCATATGTATTAGTTTAGTAGATGCCATCAAACACTTTTTACAGAGAACAATGTATAAGGGTAAGTAAAAAATTATCCACATTCTGGTTATATTAAAATGCCCGCCCACATCCACTGCTGATGACAATATTAAGCATGCACGTGAAATGGTTTTATCATATAGATGAGTGACAGTGAATTATGTGGCAAATCATTTGCACATAAGCCATGGCTCTACTTATGAAATAATCTACAACAGACTTGAGTTTCTAAAAGTTTGTGTGAGATGAATACTGAAACAGCTCACAGGAAAGCATAAACAGAAGCGTTTGGACCTCTACAAACAAAATTTGTACCGATACGCAAAGGAAGGTAAAAGTTTCTTTAAAAAAAATGTTACTGGTGACAAAACATAGATTCATCACTATGAGCCTAAGAGTAAATGACGAGTATGGAATGAAAACATTGTCAATCGTCAACCATCAGCTGGAAAATTGATGCTTACCGTTTTTGGGATTCTCAAGTGCCAGTATTGGAGCACTATTAGGATAAAGGTTCAACAATCAACAGTGCTTATTACAGTGAGATGCTCGCTGAAGAGTTGAAGCCTAAACTTCCTATTAAACATAAGGACATTGTGATCTTGCATGACATTGCACATCTGCACACCTCTGCCAACACTGTTGCCAGTCTACAAATCTTCATTTTGAGGCTGTAATTCTTTAGGTAAGCAGAAAGCCTCATCTTTCTCCCACAGAGGTGCTGGTGGATACAAACTGCGGACCTTGCAGTTAGCAGTACAACACGTAACCCACTATGCCACCAGGGTTCCTTAGAAAATGAAATTTGAATTAGACAAAAAAAAAAAAAAAATGGCAGTAATGCTAACACCTGAAAATATAGAGAAATAGTCTTACCTGCTGTATTCCACCTAGAGCATCCTCCCTATAGTCCTAAACTTGCTGTTTTGGACTTTCACCTGGTCCCCTGCAAGCAGCCCTTTGAGGATGAAGATTCACCTCTGATAAAGAAATGAAGACAGTGGTGCATTCATGGCTCACAGCTCAACCTAAAAGACTTTAAAATAAGGGAATACAAAAGCTTGTGGACAGATGACAAAGTGTATTGAAAAGCAAGGAGATTATGTTGAAAAATGATGTATTTGTCTCTTCTAAAAGTTGATTAAAGTAAATGTTACAGCCAGAGTCCAGATAATATTTGACTCACTCTCATATCAGTTTATGTTCCCACATGCAGAGTTTGAATGTTCTCCTTGCTCCACATCATCAACACTTCATACAATCAGTCATTTCATTTTAGCCATTTTGGTGGCTGTGTAATATCTTACATAATTTAAAATTTCAAATTGCTAAGGACTGGCAATTTTGAGTACCTTGCCATATGTTCTTTGGCCCTTTATACTGTGAAGTGCTGTAAAACAGAGCCTTCTACAATGATGAAAATGTTCTATAACTACTGTCCTGTACACTAGAATCTAACCACATGTTGGTGTTAGCATTTAAAATGTGGCTAGTGTAACTCAGTAACTTAAAATTAAGTCTTTTGCTTAAATCATTTACCCATTTTTCTGTTGATTGTTTTTTTTTTCCTTATTGGTTTGTATGTGTTTACATTTTTTCTTAGGTACAAATTCTGTATAGATTTATGTTGTAGATATCTTTCCTCACTTTAAGAGTTAACCTCTCCGCTGTCTTAATGGTGTCTTTTGATGAAGAAAACTTTTGTATAGATTATTGATCTTTTTCTTTATGTGGCCAGATGACAAATTCCTTTTAGAATCAAGATAATTTTTTAAAAGACTATCATTGTTCTTTGAGTGTCAGTATTTATTTTAATTTATATTTTTATCTGTAACAGCTGAGCTAACAGAAACATACAACCTAGATAACCAAAATAAAGTGTCATTATTTTCAAATGTAAAATTATAATTAGCGTGAACATCAACCAATCATTAAATAAGATTTTGCTTCTTTACTAGCATTATCCTAGTTTTGTTTTATTTTGGTCAGGTGAAAATATGAAGCCAGATGAGTTTATGAATATGAAGAAGTCTCATGAAGTTCATATAATGTCAGAGATGATCAGCAACATTGCTGATTTTTGTGGAATACAGCAGGTAAGACTATTTCTCTATATTTTCAGGTGTTAGCATTACTGTCATTTTTTTTTTTTTTTTGTCTAATTCAAATTTCATTTTCTAAGGAACCCTGGTGGCATAGTGGGTTACGTGTTGTACTGCTAACTGCAAGGTCCACAGTTTGTATCCACCAGCACCTCTGTGGGAGAAAGATGAGGCTTTCTGCTTACCTAAAGAATTACAGCCTCAGAAACCTTATGCATTGTTTCTGTGAGTCGAAACAGACTTGACAGCATATAACCACCACCATCTCTATCATCTTGCATTTAAAAGATTATTAAGTGGTAGCCGATGTCAGATACATGATACTCTTTGTAATTATTACAATTTCATAGTAAAAAGAAAATGACTTTTTTTTTTTTTTCTGCAGTATTCACTCTTTTTAGAATGGGTAGAAGTCTATTTGATAGGTTGTAACTTTTACATGCAGCAACATTATGAAGATAACATACTGCAAAGTTGTTGACATCTTGGTGTGAGGTTTTAGGATAAGAACAGGACTATGAACAACAAAGTGTGTGGTTCAAACCCACCAGCTGTTCTTCAGATCCTAAACAAGGTCGCTATGAGTTGGAAATGACTCAGTTGCACTTAATAAAAACAAAGGATAATCCTGTTTGATATCGTGTAACTTCAACATATGCAACCACTTAACAAGGTATCAGCATATGATCAAGAACCCCTGGTACTGAAGGAAAAAGTCCAAGTTGTACTTAAGGCATTAGCAAAACCACATAGCTCCAGGAATGGACAGATACAAACTGAAATGTTTCAGCAAACTGATGCAGCACTGGAGCATTCAGTCATGTGTCAGGAAATTTGGACGACAGCTACCTGGCCAACTAGTTGGCCGATATCCATATTTGTGCCCATTCCAAAGAGAGAGGAGCAAACAGAATACGGAAATCATTGGACAATGTCATTAATATCACATGCAAGTAAAATTTTGCCAAAGATAAATGGTTGCAACAGTACATCAACAGATAACTGCCAGAAATTCATACTGGATTCAAAAAAGACGTTGTACAAGAGATATCATTGCCGATGTCAGATGGATCTTGACTGAGAACAGACAATACCAAAAAGATGTTTGCCTGTGCTTTATTGACTGTGCAAAAGCTCTTGTAAAAAATGTGTAGATCATGACAAACTATGGATAATTTGACAGAAAATGAATATTCCAGAACACTTAATTGTACTCATGAAAAGTCTGTATATAGTCCAAGAAGCAGTTGTTAGAACAAAACAAGGGGTTTTAAATGGTTTCCAATCAGGAAAGGTATGTGCCAGGGTTATATCTTTTCCCTGTACTTATTAAATCTGCTATGCAAACAATTGAGAAGCTGGATTATATGAACAAGAACATGGCTTCAGGATTGAAAGAAGACTCATTAACAACCTGTGGTATGAAGATAATACAACCATGCTTGCTCAAAATGAAGAAGACTTAAAATACTTACTGATGAAAATCAAAGACTGCAACCTTTAGTATGGATTGAACCTCAATGTAAACAAAGCAAAAATCCTCACAACTGGATCAATAAATAGCGTCGTATTATAATACTTATTATAATAAGCACTTATTATGTGGAGAAAAGATTGAGATTGTCAAGGAGTTCATTTTTCTTGGGATCCACAATCAATCCTCATGGAATCAGCAGTCAAGAAATCATATGACGTATCACATTATGCAAATCGATTGCACAAGGCCTCTTTAAAGTGTGCAAGAGCAAAGATAACAGTTTGAGGACTAAGGTGCACTTGACCTGAACCATGGTATTTTCAGCCATGGTTGAATTTCACATATGCATGTGAAATTGGGCAGTTAATAAGGAAGCTTATAGAAGAACTGATACATTTGAATTATGGTATTGAAGAATATTAAAAATACACAGACTGTCAGAAGAACAAACAAATCTATGTTGAAAGAAGTGCAACTAGAACATGCCTTAGAAACCAGAATGGGCAGACTTTGTCTCTCATACTTCAGACCTGTTTTCAGAAGGGACCAGTCCCTGTGTAAAGATATCACACTTGGTAAAGTTGAGGATCAGTGAAAAAGAAGAAGCCCCTCAATGAGATGGATTGACACAGTGGCAGCAGCAGTGGGCTCAAATGTAGCAACAATTGTGAGGCTAACACAGGACCAGCAGGTAGTGTTTCATTCTGTATTTGTGCATAATAGGGTTACTATGAGGTGGAACTGACTTGAAAGCATCTAACAACAACAACTCCAACTTGCAGCAACGTTATAAAGTTTACATTCTGTACAATTTTTGGGGGGTAAGTTTTCTCAGGATTTGGGTCAACAAAGTATGGTCTGTGCACCTGTCTCTTTTTAGTGTTGTTGTACAGTGCTGCTGAGTCAGTTCCAACTCATAGCTACCCTGTATAGAGTTTCCAAGGAGTGGTTGATGAGCTTGAACCGCTGACGTTGTAATTCAAACTGACCTTGCAGTCCAGTGCATTAATCCACAGTGCCACACCGGAACAAAAAAATTAATATACTAACATTCTTTTACTAAGAATCACAATGCATTCCATTTAGTTTTTGTGAGAAGTGAAGTCTGAAAATAGATGTTTTTAAAAAAAAAAAAAAGGTTGCCCACATTGCCTAGTAAAAATAGTAAGTTATTTTCCTTACACTTGTGTTGACAGCTGTAGGAGTAATAAAAGCTTTCCATCCCTGCAATTTTTATTAGATTCCAGCATCTTTTCTATGGATTCTTCCAAATTGGTAGAGAGTTTGAGAATGATTGGAAAACTCATAGTGGGCTAGACCTGCAGGGCCACTTGTGGCAATACAGAAATCTAGAGTAGGGGCTAGAGGAAGGCCTGTGACATTAGTTATCAGTTTTTTCTTCCTTGTACCATATCTGAGAAGTATCTGTCAGACTTAACATGGAGGTGATTCTGAACTGGATTAGAATGTGCAACTTACACACGCCCTTCTCCCACCTCATGTAATAACAAAAATCTTGGAGCAAGTGCTAGATTTCTAAAACTTCTTCAAGTAATTCTAAACTGATGCCTACTAGAATCCATTTAGAGTAATGACAATGGAATGGACTCCATAAAAAGACATGGGCGTGTTAATTCTAGTAAAAAGGGCCCTAACAAGCTCAGGCTTGTTAACAACAGCAGGTTCACTGGAGATGCCAGACAGAAAATTCAGAAAGTTGATAGTTGGGTAAACTGGAGAGAAGATGTCTTCATGGATGGCATCATCCTAAACAAAGAGCAGGAGAATGGGATAAAGTTTCACTGTTGAGGGAAAGACAGATGAGGCAGAGCATCAGAGACCACAAAAATTAGACTCAGATTCTGTGTAGAAACCAAGAAAAACTCAGTCACTTAGTTTGAGAGTACATGGAAGGGAAGGGAAAATTATGTGGGTCAATTCAGGATAATAAGTGATATTCTGTTTCCTGGGAATGATCTATACTATGTTGTTAAGTGCCATCAAGTTGGTTCCAACCCATAGTGACCCTGTATAGGGTTTCCGAAAAGCAGCTGGTGAGCATGAACCACCAACCTTGTAGTTCAAATGGCTTTGCAGTCTGGCGCATTAACCAACAGCGCAACACCAGGACTCCAATCTATACTATTTGTTGTTGTTGTTTAGTACCATGGAGTCGGTTCCAACTCATAGTGACCCTGCACAGGGTTTCTGAGGCTGTAAATCATTATGGGAGCAGAAAGCCTCATCTTTCTCCCATGGAATGGCAGGTGTTTTGAACTGCTGACCTTGAGATTAGCAGCCCGATGCGTACCACTACGCTACCAGAACTCCTTAATCTATACTATAGTTACTAGTTAATACTCCTATTATTTCAAATTTACACACTAACCACTAAAGCCAATGATGATAAAATTGAAGAATTCTATCAACTTCTTCCAACTGAAATTGACTAAACATGTATCCCAGATGTATTGGTAAATACATTGAAATGCAAAAGTTGTAAACAAAGAGGAATTATCTGTATTTGGAAAATATGGTCCTGATGATGGAACTGATGCTGGAGATCGCATGATAGAATTTTGCAAGGCCAACACCTTATTAATTGCAAATAGTTTTTCTCAACAACATAAACAGTTATTATTTACATGTACTTCACTAGATGGACCATGCAGAAATCCAATTGACTACATCTGTGAGAAGAGACCATGGAAAACTCAATGTCATCAGCCAAAACAAGGCCAGGGGACAACTGTGGAACAATTGCTCATATGCATATTCAGGCTGAAGATGAAAAAAATGAAAACAAGTCTGCAAGAGCCAAAATAATTTAGAGACCATCTCAAGAACAGATTTGATGCATTTGACACTACTGACCAAAGACCAGAAGGGTTGTGGGATGACATCAAGAGCATCATACATAAAAATATCAAAAGATCATTGAAAGCCCTCATCTGATTATTCAGTAATGCTTGTTAGTAATCTCGTACATGAGCCCTGGATATCCACAGACAAATGTAAAAACCTTCCCTAAAAGCCGAGACTGTAAATTCCAAACAGGCAAGTTCCCCCCGACCC